CACCCAGTCACGGGGATTCGAACCGCCGACCTTCTGATCGGCAAGTCATAGGTTCTGTGTAATTGCTTGCAAACCCAGGTGGCCCAGAGAGCCACATTTCAGATGAGGCAATTCCTCTAGGTATAGTTTTGCCTGCAAAATTACAGTGTTCCAGACTCCAGTATTTAGAGAGGAAACTTTGTCCTCAGAAAAAAGAGTGCATTCTTCTTCTTCTGTACTAAGGAAGGGAGTAGGATTATTTTGAAGGTCAATGCTAGATAACTTTTTTTTTAAAAAAAAAACCCAACCCAAACAAACCAAGAGCCCAGAAATGTCTTCAGCTACTGTAGGTCCTTGTGACCTCGGAGTTCTGCTTGGCAAAACATCTGTGCATAGGCTTTTAAGCCCTGAAAACTTTAATTAGTTGGGTTATCAAATTACCCTCTTTTCTTTTTTGCACCTTTGTTAAAAATGCGGACCAGCCGGCCTCTATTGCTAAACGCATTTAACTCATATGTTGCCGCCATAACAGAGGAAACACAGCATAAACACAGATTAAAGCTCTGTGCTTTAATCTGACACGGGTGGTACCACTATCTCAAGGCCTGGTGGCGATTATCAACCCCGACAGCGGTGCAAACCGCCCCACACCAAATGGCTGAGGCCAGCTAGCAACACATGCATGCAGCTGGCAGATAGCACAAGGTCAATCACTCCCTGCCTGCAAAGGAATCCAAATCAAGGCTGTCTTTATTATGTCTTCGGTGTCTTGTGACTCCACCACCCTAATATATGGCCAGGGAGGGAGGAATTAACAGGTGTGGCCCCTGCAGGGCTTTTTATCCCTGGTATACTGAAAGGCACAGCAACTTCTCCAAGTTCAGATGCTGGCAATTTCGGGCACAGCTTGGGCGGTGTAAGTTACTGGTTCACACAACACTTTGCATCTGCAGCAGACGAGTCTCCAGTTAAGACAGATAGAATCTTTATTTGCATCAGCCACCAATCATAGCAATAAAATAAAACGCACTGAGAACAGAGCTAAATGGTTAGCTATAGAAAGTATGTTCTGGAAGTTTAAAGGTAAAGGGACCCCTGACCTTTAGGTCCAGTCGTGGTTGACTCTGAGGTTGCGGCGCTCACCTCACTTTATTGGCCGAGGGAGCCGGCATACAGCTCTGTCTTGGATTCCATGCTGGTCATGTGGCCAGCATGACTAAGCCTCTTCTGGCGACCCAAAGCAGTGCACGGAAACGCTGTTTACCTTCCCGCCGAAGTGGTACCTATTTATCTACTTGCACTTTTTGGTGTGCTTTCGAACTGCTAGGTTGGCAGGAGTAGGGACCGAGCAATGGGAGCTCACCCTGTCACGGGGATTCGAACCGCCGACCTTCTGATCGGCAAGTCCTAGACTCTGTGGTTTAACCCACAGCACCACCCGCGTCCCAATCCATACAAAAGGCAGAATTAATACATAGTCCTTTTGCCACAGATAAAACAGGTGAACCAACAGGCTTTCTTTTGATTAAAAAACTGAGCAGTGTTAGGAAGTTAATCAAGTAATAGATCTTATTCTAATTGCCCCTGCTAATTTTTTTTGCAGTTTTTGCTGTTATCTTGATCTGCTGGAAGAAAAGACACAGTAGCAATGGTTGAGTGACCTAGTATGGATAATAGCAGAAGGTTAATAACCTCACTCCTCAAATCTTTATAAAGAGTGCAAGCACATGGGCTACTGACATTCAGTTAAGTTGCTCAAGCTCCACACACGGCAAAAGCAACCGAATGCTACCTTTGGCTATGAATCTATGGTGATGCACCAGTGGAACTTCCTAAACTACAGCCCTGCATTATTATGCATTATTTAATACATTTACATATACATCGCTGACTATTTAAGAATATCAAAGTGGTGTGCAAAACATAAAAATCATAAAACAAATGATTAAAAAGAAATGTAATAAAACACCAGTTTATAATCTACACAGCGACCCAACAAACGAGCCCACTGATGTCAGTAATCAGGGGGTGCTTGGGTCAACAAGAAGGTCTTTAGCAGATGCTGAGAACCAAAAGCAGGTAGGGCATGCTAGAATTCTCAAGGAAGGCTCTTCGGTGTAGGGGGTCACCACGCTGAAGACTCTGCTCACAGCGGTCACAAGACGGATGGGAAACACGGCCTGTGCCATTATGAGTAGCCAGGAAGGAGAACAAAAAATATCCAGCAACGTTGGTGCAAGGAAGGCATGGAATAATATATGAAGAGACCTGCTGGATCAGGCCAAAGGCCCATTTGGTCCAACGTTCTGTTCTCACAGCGACGGGCGAGATGCTTAAGGGGAACTCCAAAGCACAGTAGAACCCTCCCTGTTTGCCACCCCAAACAACTAGAATGCAGAAGCATACTTCCTTGGCAGCCAAGGTAGAACACAGCCATTGTAAGCCACAATATTGCCATACGCACATTCATGGAGTGAATCAAAATAATTAGAGGGTCAATAATAATAATAATAATAATAATAATAATAATAATAATAATAATAATGGGGCATATATTAGGGCAGTTCAAGAAGTGTCAAGAAGTACTGAGGAAGGATGTCTGCAACCCCCAATGTCCATTTTGCACGCATCAGATAACCTGTTGCAGATATAAAAGATGCTACTTTATACCCAGCACACAGCCTCCAAAACTGAGTCTTGTACTACCACAACCTTCCACTCATGCCGCGGCTAGAAACTTCACCTGTCTGTGGCTTGTTGCAATCAATGGGACCATCTTATACCTGACACAAACTGTCAACAGGCTGCAGACGGGAGCAGTAATATCTCGAGTATCTTTACGCAAAAGCTATGTCTAATTCTACAAGCCTTACACGTCACTGTTATAGTATGGCCCCTATTGTTCTTGTTCTGCATTAAAACACGATGGGCATTTAATTTATCCCTCTGGGTCTCTTGAAGCTTTGTTTTGAGAGCTATTAATTGTCTGTATTTGAAATGGAACAAAACTGCAAACTTTGCTATTCTACACCCCTGGCTTTGACATTTGCTTCTGAATTTTTCGAGGTGAAACTCCCCTCTCCCGTAATGTGGTTTGCCTATCAACAAAAAAACACTTATCGAAAAGAGTGCTCCTCACGCCCCAAAGTTAAGTTGGACTTTAGGGGATAAAATATACCAAATACGACGTTTAAAATGAAGCTGCGTTGGGAAGGGTTTGTTTGTTTGTGAACTTCGGAAGCAAAATAATTTCTGATGCAAGTAAGCAGCCGTGAAACAAGCAATAAAGGAAAGAACTGTAGAGTTGCAAGGGACCACAAGGGTCATCTAGTCCCACCCCCTACAATGCAGGAATCTTTTGCTCAATGTGGGGCTTGAACCCACAACCCTGAGATGAAGAGCCTCATGCTCTACCAACTGAGCTATCCCAGAGCTGGATGAGTACTGTAATGACCCACAAGCAGGAGGCTGCACCTAACCAGAGTCCTGCTGGATCTCAACAAAGGCATATTTATTCCAGTATCCTGTTCTTACAAGTGCCAACCAGAGGCATACAGGAGACCAGCAGGACAGAAGTAACGCTTCTCTTTTTAGCAGACAAACCACGCCAGCTCACCCATCACTTACCCACCACCATGTTTACTTAGACCCTAGGTCAACAGCACCCGATGCCCAACCACATTCGTAAGGCTCGTCATCACCTCTTCCATCGATTACGCAGTTCCCCCCTTGTTTCCAGATCTCCAGCGGAACTCATGCAACACGGGGATCCCAATTGCTGAATTAACCTTTATAGATTCTCATCCTTTTCTCTGGGGTTCTTAAATCTCACCACCACCACGACCAAAGCCACAGATACACTGCAGGCAGTAAGTAAACAGGTGTAGCGCCCTCTCTCCCAATTGCAGGAAGCGAGGCTGTGAGAAAAAACCCAGCTAGACCAGATTCAGTTCAGCATCCTGTTCCAAACAGCATCCAGCCAGATCCCTCTGGAAAAAAATTGCATGAAGCCAACAGCCATTCCCCTGCGTCTGGTATTCACAGATACAGGGCTACTGAATGTGGAGGTTCCATTCAGTTGTGGCACGGCAGTAGCCATGGATATACAGATCACCCACCATTAATGTGTCCAAAATCCCCTTCTAAAAAGCCAACTAAGTTAGTGGGCATCACCGTAATAAAATAAGCTTCCAAAGCAGGCATAGGCAAACTAGGTCCTACAACTACAACTCCCATCATCCATAGCTAACAGGACCAGTGGTCAGGGATGATGGGAGTTGTAGTCCCAAAAACATCTGGAGGGCCGAGTTTGCCTATGCCTGTTCCAAAGTGTCTTTGAAGTGAGCCACCATTCTCTCTGCCTCAGCTTCTCATCTGCAAAATGGGGATAGTAATACTTGTCTGCGCTTACAGGCTGCTAAAAGCTTGCAACCCCCCCCCACCTTCCCCTGCTGTCTCCCCTCCTATGTCAAATTTCAGATTGCAAACTCCTCAGGGGAGAGACCCTTGTGTTCTTGCTGATGGCATGACACAGAACGAGAGAACACAGTGATGTGCTTGTGCGCAAAACAAAATAGCCTATCTAATGGCACCCCTCATTAACAACCATTAGCATTTCTACATGGCAGGCTGCTGTGCAGAGATACGGCTTGCAAAAATGGAGGGGGGGGGGCGAGTTGGCGGTGCAAAATGATATTTTGACATTTTAAAAACTCACACATATGAGAGACCATTGGTCCATTCTTCCAAACTCAGCCCCTGCAACTCCCCTCCCACAGGGACAGAATTTGCCTCAGAATGAAGCTGAGGACAAAATTTGGCGCCTCCTAAATATTTATTACTTTCACAATAATTCCTTTTGGTACAGTTACTTTTAAAATGGATCTCTCGAGTAGGTACCCGAATAAATATAGGTTTTTAAAAATATTATTATTATTTTGTGCCCCCTCAGCTGGGCACCACAATAAAGGCGCTGGCTCCTGAGCATGTTTGGAGGGAACCAGGAAAGGAACGAGACTCACCGCAATGAGCGCGGGGTTCCTCTGCTCCCCTCCAGAGGCCGATCCGGGCTGCTCTCCGTTGATCCCACTTCTGCCACCAGTCGTCCCGTTGCTGATCAGCTGCTGGCGATAGTAGTCCGCCGGAGGGGGCGCTGCAGCGTTCGCAGAAGGAGCCGAAGCCGCGATGCTGCCGCCTCCTCCGCTGTGACCATTGGCCGCTGCTGCCTTGCTGTGCTTCCCTCCTTTCCTGGCCGCCTGGCCGTGCTGCACCAGGTTGAGGAGTTGCAAGGTGCTCTCCCGCTCGCGGCTCGAGCTCTCCGCCCGGCCCCGCTCGTAGCGCCCCTCGCAGCTCAGGTGGTGCTGGCGGCAGATGGCGATGCGCGCCCGCAGCCGCTCCACGATCGCGCTGTGCACCCGCGGCGCCGCCACCGAGCCGCCGCCGCCGCCTCCCAGGAGACCCGGGGCTTGGGGGGGAGCCGTGTCCCCCATCCCCGCAGCCTCAGGCCCCTGCTCTTTTGCAAAGGGCTTGCTGATCCACTCTCACGCGAACCAGAAACCGGCTCCTCTCTCCGGAACGGCTGCGAATCTTGCGCTCCTCTCTCCTGCAAACCGGGGCAGATCGCTTGCCCGATTTTAGTCCAGCGGGCTCTTTACAAAGTCGCCGCCAGCGCCATCCTTTTTGCAGGTTTCCCGAGCAAAGCAACAGACTTCAGCAGCGGGGGGCGAAGCTGGCCAGCAGGGGCGGCTGCAGACTTGCAAGCTACAGCCATTTAAATCGCGGTGCAAACCACTGATAGGGGTTATTTTTCCTCCCCCTTTCCTTTTAAAAAAAATAAAAAATCCTCCACCACGAGGTCTGATTAAGGCTTGCTGAAAAGCATCGCAGCAAAGTTTTTACAGCAATGCATTTTAGGGAGAATTTGTAATAATAAATAAGCTGGGTAGCGTGCTTTTTTTGGGGGGGGGGAAGGGGAGAAGAAGCCAGTTGGCAAAAAGGTATGGAAAGACACACACGCCCTTCTCTTGAGCGCAAAAAAGAAAGGGACGCGCGAAAGTGAGCGCGAGCGTGGAGGAAGGGTCGTGTGGACGGGTGACACGAGGTTCCCTGAAGTTGCTCGCAAGAGCAGCGATCGGAATGGGGCGCGTTGGCTGGATGCCGGAGGGATGAGAGAAGCGATCCCGGAGAGTTTTAATATTTGTTGCTTTCTCTTTCGCCTACCTCTGTCTTTTAAAATCCGGTTGTTGTTGTTTTTGCACAGCCCCCCCCCTCAAAGAGTATCTCCTTTTAAGTCAAAGGAAAAGCAAGACGGCTTACTGGTTCCCGGTGTCATTAAGTTCAGACGCGGTTCTCCAATGAATCCAACCCATGCTTGGGAGACGCGGACGGGCAGATGGTTTCTCCGAAGGGTGGGCGATCCTTAAGTGTCCCTCGCTCCCGTGCCACGGGAAAAAGCCAGCTCGGATCTCGATGCAAAAAGCCCTCCCCGCATCCTCGTGCTCCTTTTTGTCTACTTCCAGAAAAGCTGAGCAAAGCACCCAGGAACGCGGCGGGGGAGAGAGAGAGAGAGAGGAGGCGGGTGGGGGGGAAGAGTTGGTGGGAGTAAAAGCAGAAATCACGACTCCCGACGATCAGCTAATTCACAAACCAGCTCGAAACTTACAAACTTCCAGCTCTCCGCCTCCAGACCCGTCCGATGCAGCGAGATTCCTCGGTCAATTTGTATATTCCATCCCTTCCCAGACTTGGGAACTGGTGAGTTTTTGTTGCAGTTGCAATGTCTCTCCAAAGCGCGCTGGACGGTGGTGGTCGCTGCTGCTGCCGCCCTGCCCTCTGCACTTGCCGGTTTAAGAACAGAGCAGAAAGCTTGCAGTGTTCCCCCCCTCTCCCCCTTTTCCTTCGCTTGTCTCGTGCTTTAAGCCGCCAGGCTGCTACGACTGCACGGCGCGGGGGTTGCAGATACACAGGATTTCATTGTGCTCGCATAGAATCTGAGCAGCGGCGGCAACAGCAGCAGCAAACAGGAGACTGACGGGGAGCCCTGGCGGAAGGCTGGCACCGTTGCGCGGAAAAAGTCGCCGTTCCCCGAAATGAAGGGCAAGGAGACGCCTGCCGGCCAAACCCACTCGTTGCAGGGAGCTTCCGTTTACTTAAAAAGCCCGCTTTCCCACGTTATGCTCGGGCACTCGCGATCAAATCAGGGGGCGCTGATATATGTGCATTTCAGAAGGCTGACGCTGTGCCCGTGGAAGTAAAACCCGACACAAATCTACGCGCCACCAGAAAGCAGCCATAGCCTTTCGAAAGCAGGCTGCTCCTCTACATGTGAATCGGACCTTGCCAGGTGCTTTGGGGGCATAGTAACACTGGTATAGTGCACGCACCTGGAAGGATAGCACAAGGTGCAGCGTGCACACAAATGGCTTCCCTTTGCAAAGTTTCCGCCAAGCTCTTGGAAGATGGCAGTGGAGACTGGATAAAAGGTGCAGGCAATTTCACATTAATTTTTCTGCTATGCCCGTTAATTCCCAACCCACAAACCTTCAGCAAACAAGATAACTGTGCTTAAACATTGGAAGCCATTATTTTATAAATTACATAAACTATAGGGCTTATGATATTATGTGGGCATATGTACGTGTACACACAAGCTGTTTGCATAGTGATAGCGTTTTCTAACATTACGTTTCAGCAAGCTTGTTGTTTACCCACATTCCTTTTTAAATCCATTATTGGAGGCTGCTGAAATGAGAATATGTTTCCTGAAAAGACGCTGCAGCATTTAATGTTTTTCAGCTGTTTGGCACAAATCACAAGATGCTTTTGAAAAGACTTTTCCGCCCAAACTTTTCATGCACCCATATATCATATTGGTGATGATCGAGCCTGTTTAAGAGATGGAAGAAACACTCATTCGAAGCAGCAGCAAGCCTTCCACCTGCAAGTTAGGAGGGTTTCCTAAAGCAGGCCTGTAGCTTTTAATCCATTGAGCCAACCACAGCCTCTAAGCTGTTTGAGAAACTGATTTTGCTGCCCGTAAATGCAAAAGCACAGCACACGACTGTACTCAGTTTCGGTGGTGGTGAAGACCTAACCCCCAAAGGACACTTGTGAAGGAGAGTAGGCTTGTGTTTTTTCCTTTTCCAAACCAATTTGGGTACAACCAGCCTCAACAGTGCCTGTAGGTGAACTGACAAGCCTCTTCCAATCAGTGTTAAGCCTCTGTCCTCCTTCCTTGTTAACTGACCAGCTATGCTTGCAGGCTGGTAAGTCAACCCCAAATGCATGAAGCGGTTAGGGGATCAACTAATAGGCAGGCAAGAGACGGATGGGAAACAGTGAAAGAATAGTTTATTGTACAGCTTTATGTAGAGTGCAAGCCTAAGTTATGGTTGATTTTGAAAAGGTAGGATAGAGAAAGACACCATGACAAGAATTAAGGGGAGCTTTCCTCTGTAATTCAAAAGCTAGGAGAAACTTGATCGCATCAGAGGATGGCTTGCTCTCTTAAGGTGCGAAAACTCCCACGTTTATGCGAAGAGAACTTGATTCATATCTTTTCCGTTTCCTTACACTTAATATGCTTCTATTTACCAAGTGCAAACATGGGTGGGGCTTATGAACACCTTTGTCAAACACAGCAGGCACAGCCGAGCTGTTAAAGCGAACCAGAGCCTTAAGAATGTTAACACTGCACCCAAACTTTAGACTTTTACTCATCGCAATAAACCTGAACGCATTAAGGAGTTGCACACAGAGAGTCTGTGCACTTGCCTTTCCCAATGTCCCTTAGCCTCGCCTTTCATACCCCCTTAACTGCTGCTGCCCTGCTGTACCTGATAAGAGCTGCGGTGGCACTTGGGTGACTTGGGGCTCACCTGGAGAGTAGATGATGAACATAATATAGGAATCACCTTATAGGATCAGACTAAAGATCCAGGTAGTCCAATGTTCTGTTTCCAAACTAATGCCACTAGGAAGCCCACAAGCAAAAGGAAGGTTTGTTCCTGGATTATCACTGCTTCCATTCACATCTGAAGCCCAAACTTATAATAGACGCGGGAAGTTGACTCAAATCAAGTCAGGCCATTGGTCCATCTAGCTCAGTACTGCACACAGTGACTAGAAGCAGCTCCCAAAGGTTTCAGACAGGGGCCTCCTAGTCCTACCTGGAGATGCTGTGGGTTAATCCTGGGACCTTTTGCACGCAAAAGAAGATTACCATTGAGCTATAGCCTTTCACACAGGTGACACAGTGGAAATGAACAGAGCAGAAACACCATCTATTCAGCTTAGAATCATAGAGTTGGAAGAGACCACAAGGGCCATCGAGTCCAACCCCCTGCCAAGCAGGAAACACCATCAGAGCACTCCTGACATATGGTTGTCAAGCCTCTGCTTAAAGACCTCCAAAGAAGGAGACTCCACCACACTCCTTGGCAGCAAATTCCACTGTCAAACAGCTCTTACTGTCAGGAAGTTCTTCCTAATGTTTAGGTGGAATCTTCTTTCTTGTAGTTTGGATCCATTGCTCCGGGTCCGCTTCTCTGGAGCAGCAGAAAACAACCTTTCTCCCTCCTCTATATGACATCCTTTTATATATTTGAACATGGCTATCATATCACCCCTTAACCTCCTCTTCTCCAGGCTAAACATGCCCAGCTCCCTTAGCCGTTCCTCATAAGGCATCGTTTCCAGGCCTTTGACCATTTTGGTTGCCCTCCTCTGGACACGTTCCAGTTTGTCAGTGTCCCTCTTGAACTGTGGTGCCCAGAACTGGACACAGTACTCCAGGTGAGGTCTGACCAGAGCAGAATACAGTGGCACTATTACTTCCCTTGATCTAGATGCTATACTCCTATTGATGCAGCCCAGAATTGCATTGGCTTTTTTAGCTGCCGCGTCACACTGTTGGCTCATGTCAAGTTTGTGGTCAACCAAGACTCCTAGATCCTTTTCACATGTACTGCTCTCAAGCCAGGTGTCCCCCATCTTGTATTTGTGCCTCTCATTTTTTTTGCCCAAGTGAAATACTTTACATTTCTCCCTGTTAAAGTTCATCTTGTTTGTTTTGGCCCAGTTCTCTAATCTGTCAAGGTTGTTTTGAAGTGTGATCCTGTCCTCTGGGGTGTTAGCCACCCCTCCCAGTTTGGTGTCATCTGCAAATTTGATCAGGATGCCCTTGAGTCCATCATCCAAGTCGTTGATAAAGATGTTGAATACTGAAGAGGAAGAAAGCACACCTGTTCATTAAAGACCCCAACTTACTGTATGTCTGAATTAGAGGCCAGAGGCTTCCTACTCTTCATATTGCCCACAATCAAAAACTGGATGTGTCTCTGATCTATAATTCATATATATCAAGGCTGCCCAACTCACCTATCCAAGTTAATATACAGGAAGGGTGCTCTGAGTGAACTCTGAACTCCTCTGAAGTATGCACTGGGCCAATCATCCCATATACACTTAAGAGCAAATTCATTTTCCAAGTGTGGATCCTTGTGCAGCAGGCTTGGAAAGGTCCGCGGTTTTCAGGAGAAAAAAAGATGAACAGGGCAGTGGGGAAGACACTAAAGTGAGCGAAACAAACCTGAAACAGCCCAATGAGGACTATGCATGCTCAGTAGCTATAGAATACTAGTTGGCTGTTGGAGTGGGGGAGCCCAGAAAAGAGTATATGCATGTGAATCCTGGAAAAGGGCATTGCTGGAACCCTGAGCACGATCACTGCACACTTTAAGACTGTTTTGCAGACCCCACTTGCCAATAGTCTAACTGAAGCTGCTACCGAACAGTCAGTGTCAAGCTGATGAACTGAGCATTCATCAAATTCCCTGACTCCAAAATGGAAACAGACCCAACTGGGTATTACGTCATACAGAATGAGCAGAAGCCTCTGCATATCAGTCTTCTAAAGCATCTTCCCTTCCAAATGCTACAGAAATGGAAAACGGATATTGCAAGCAGTGTAAAGATATTTATTTCTTTTACCGCTCAGCCGGCTAAATGCAAGTCCATGAATTCTGGGTCTCCAGGATGCATAAACAATGATGGCCTGTTGGTTTTAGAGAGCTAATTTGTTACTGCCCTGTGTCCTGGGGGGTGGGAATGTACCTGGTTTACAGCTGGTTTTAAACACTGTGCTGGGAAAGCAGTATGCATATTACAGCCTTTGGGCTTCTCACCATGTGGACCTTTCCTCTTTCAAAAAGAATGGAAGCCAAACATTTTTCATACACTGGCACAATTCACCTGGGCATCACTGCGCATAAAATTTCATTTCCTGAATGAACACCCGGGTTATTCAGAGACTGTTTTTCATTTTAGATCATTAAGCTGAGCTGCCTGGTGTTCAAGAACACAGAAGAGATGACTTCCACTATAAAAATGTCCTTAGATGATTATTTTGATAATTAAAATGAACTATGAAAAAGAAATACACATTAACTTATTAGTATCCATAACAACATACAGGCACATTGATTGTCTTGCAGTAAAAAGAAAAACAGCTGGAATGCAGCATGATATTCAAATACTATCACCAGTCAAGGGAAAGCACGTTTGTAAGTAGATGCCTTTTTAAAAATATGATGACATCAAGTCTTTTTTTTCGTCTTGGAAGTTTTCAGCACGTACCATGTACTTCTGAAGTTCAGAATATTGCTTCAAACGAAAGAAAACAAAGTATCATTTTAGCAGACCTAAATTAAAGGTGGAACTTTTTATGTTCCTTTTAAATTTCATTTGCACACTTATAAACCAATTAAAAAGTTACTGAAGCAATGTGCAGTAATAAAAACGATTAGAAACCCAGTAAACTAAAAGCAGCAAAACCATTTATACAGTTGTAGAATTATTATTCCACACAATGATTGGGCCACACTTCAGGGAAAGCCTTCTTAGAACAAATATGTATTTCAAAAGCCACCAAAATGTCAAAATGCTAGGTACTTCTCTCTTAGTAGTGCCCCAACTGAGGAGCGCAGTTTCTCGGCAGGGATGGATGTGGCAAGGTGTTCCCTTAGATAATCTGGTCCCAAAATGTTGAAATACTAAAAGCAAATCCTTGGATTGCACCTGGTAGCCCAGGCATAGGCAAACTCAGCCCTCCAGATGTTTTGGGACTACAATTCCCATCATCCCTGACAACTGGTACTGTTAGCAAGGGATGATGGGACTTGTAGTCCCAAAAAACATCTGAAGGGCCGAGTTTGCCTATGCCTGTGGTAGCCTATTGGCAGCCAGTGCAGCTCCCTCAGCAGAAACCTTATACTGCATGTTGGCAGTGGGATGTCCCAGTCAACAACCTAGCTTCTATACTGGTTTCAGTATATTGGTTTCAGATCACTAATGAATTCCTCGCTTTAACAGCAGCACAGTGCACAATTTTGATAGTAACATCTTCTTTCCATCACACAAGATTGCACCTGTCAAAATTATGCCTTGTATACAAGTGTGAAAGGGATGTAAGTCATGCTCTCTTGGAAACTTTATTGATGAGCCTCATGCAAGACAAATCCCACACCTGCCTATATTGATCTAAATATACCTTTTGCAATACCTGCTACAGCTGGTCTTAAAATTCTCCCAGAAAGGAGTAATCTTGACCCCTAGGAATTTTTTTCTTTAAATAATATAAAGCTGTCTGCTATAGAAAGCTTTTTAAAAAGCAAACTGCTGTACTCTAGTCTTTAAATTTGCTGAAGTAGTGAAAGCAGCAGGATGGCATACTTTTAGCAGGTTAAATAAAGCCTAGCAAGGAGTCTGAACAAAGTGGCACAGTTGCCAGGATCAGAGAGGATGCAGCAACCTCTATGCAAGGCTCCCTCTCTCATTTTATCCTTTTGTTCACTGCCTAATCACAAAATGACACATTAACAATATTGGAAACAAGTCCAGAATCTTCTGTAGTCTTTTAAACAAAATCTCATTGGTTTAAAAACAGGGCTTGCTTTCTAGGATCATGGCATTGGGTAATTATTATGTTGGTAAATATATTCCCTGCAGAAATATGATCACATTAATCATTATAGGAGGTACAGCTGGACTAATTTCAAAGCAGGAGCTACTTTCAGTCAACTTTTCCTGAAACTGCACTTTATGAGTTTCTTCACCCTCCACACCTGAATGGCCTACAGTTCTGTCCACAAAATACTAAGTGCTGTACTGATTATTAATTTCCCCTGCTTTCAAAGCAATAGAATTTATGTACAATCAGTTCTACTTTACCTTTTAATCCAGCCTCTATTATTCTGCTGTGTGAAAACTCTGTACACTGTATCTTTGACTGGTGCATCCTGGCATCCATTGCTTGTCATTAGAGAGCAGCAATTCTGATACAGCTTGTATTTAAAATGTTTCAGGTTGTGATAAGCTTCAGTACGGTTTTTACACACAATGCCAATCTCCAACGCCTGTATTATTAAAAGGAAAGCTCTTTTACTGGGCAGGTCTTGGCCAATAATGGACAATGCAATAGTCTCATCAATTAAACAAGTAAGGTATGACAAAACCTGAGCAGGACATTTATCGATATCTAACTGAATCTAACTTCCACACGCGCCACTTTTCCAAAGGCATCACTGGCATAAATGAAAACCGACCCTTTTTTCCCACTGCTACCCTAAGAATGTCAATTCAGGAAGGCACAGAGGTGATCACTTGCTTTAATCAGTTCTAATACCGGTGCCACTGGGGCTGCGAAATGTTTGAAATAATAAATTAAAAGGATTAAATCTTTGTTGGTATGCACTTATTACCTGTAATTCACAAAGCATACCCTGTTCAACACTAGCTGAATTGCAAGGGAATATTTTTTTTTAAAAAAACCCCTGGTTATAGAACATAAACACTGCAAAGCCTAGGTTTATACAGTAGAACAGTCACACCAGTGTAAATCTAAAGAGTCACTCTGCTTGAGAAAGTTAGGGAATATGAAATTAGGAGCCCCACAGGTACACTAGCCCAGTTAAAACTGCACATATGTACAACAGATGTTGTCAACACACCACTGGAGTTTGACCGAATACTCTTGGAAGTATATAATTCTCACATTGCAAAATCAAAGCCTCTGGAGTGCACCAATTCAGTTCCCATGCTTAGCTTATTTGTACAACTATCTAAGACTATCTACTTGGTTTATATATGAAGTCAGATAAACCATTGATCAGTTTACACATATAGTCAAACCAACCCAAGCCCTGTCGATTTATAGGGAATTCTGAAGATCAAGGTTTAGGGATAATTTTTCACAGATAAATAATATGGCAAGTATACAAGTTACTGTTATACCACAAGCCTTGGTCTCTCTAACAGATAGAACTGTAGAGTTGGAACTCAGACCCTGAGGATCATCTCATCCAACCCCCTGCAATGCAAGGATATACAGCTGCCCCATATAGGGATCAAACCTGCAGCCTTGGCATTATCAGCGCCATGATCTAACCACCTGAACTATCTTGTTGACACTATGTATCTAGATCTAGATATACACACAGAGAAGATGAATCTAATTTAAAAAAAATAAAATTACCCCAAAATTTATGTCAGGATTATTATTTGCAAGTATATTAATTAGCATATAGACATAAATTATTCTTAGTAAAGCTTGCTATATACTTCTTGATAGAATGTAGTTTTAAAGATATCATAATGATCAGCTTGTTCATAAACAAGCACTATAGAGGAAATTTCTTATAGCCATCTGGGATTTTCAAGTATTATATACTTAGCCACTAATACAAGCAACAGAAATCTTTGAAACCACTGCCAAAAACCCATTACCCAAAAGTAGACTAAAAAGAAGCATGAGGCTAAAAGATATTAACATCAACATCTCACCAAAAAAAAATAAATGCAATGCATTTTAACTTTTTGGTTCTTAGCAGTTTTGTAGTCTGGGAAAAAATTTACCTGCTTGTCATGTGACATGAAGTCGTCTACTTGCATTGTCTCACAATCATATGATTTCCCTGACAGAATCACTGTGAACCTACAGTGCCTCTGCAGTTCACAGGCTTGACAGGAACGGTGCTCTCCAATTCCCTTAACTATGCGGATGTCAGGATAACTATCCACCCGTTTCTGGAAAAAAGATATCCGGTTGGAAATTTTGCTGGTCACTTGTTCTACAGAATCAACTATTGCAATTCAACAATACTAAACATTCATATATTTATCTGTTTAATTTCAACTGCTTGGTTAAGGACCACAGAGCTCTTAATTTCTAGAGTAGGCTCAGTTAGGTCATTGCCCCCTCACCCCCTGCGAGGAAGTGACGTGTTCCTTCTCTTCCTTTCCTCATTCTCTTCCTTCACAATGTGAGCCATGGAAGGAGGATGTGCCTCGCAATAGCAACATTGTTCTAGTTCTACCCAATAATATTTTTGTCTGCAATTTCCATTGTTGCCACATAGTACAATGCATAACTGATACCTTAAATCTGTAAGTAAAAAAATTACAAACTTATTTCAGTGTGTTGTCTATTAACTGCACAGACGGGCGGAAGGAAGTCTGCTGCTGCACACAGCTGACACAGGATAAAGAAAAGGTTTAAAGGTAAAGGTACCCCTGACCATTAGCTCCAGTCATGGCTGACACTGGGGTTGTGGCGCTCGTCTCGCTTTATTGGCCGAGGCAGCCGGCATACAGCTTCCGGGTCATGTGGCCAGCATGACTAAGCCGCTTCTGGCAAACCAGAGCAGCATACGGAAACGCCGCTTACCTTCCCGCCGGAGCAGTACTTATTTATCTACTTGCACTTGACGTGCTTTTGAACTGCTAGGTTGGCAACAGCTAGGACCAAGCAACGGGAGCTTACCCCGTTGCGGGGATTTGAACTGCCGACCTTCCGATTGGCAAGCCCTAGGCTCAGTGGTTTTCCCCATCAGAGAGTCTGCTAAGCCCTGCACTTTGAATACAGGTTTGCAGTCATATTCCTTTGTTTGTTTGTTAACCCACATACATGGGTCTATAGAGAAGTAGATATAATTAATACATCCTCTTCCAATTCCCATTAGTTTTCAGTCCAGTGTTCCAGCCTGTCAGTATCACTTTGATGCTATCTTCTATAACATGGTGTTAGCTATCCCTATCAGCTTCAAGCCATCTGCACATCTGAAAGGCACCACCTCATCAGAGTCATTTATAAGAACATTGAACAACACCCCAATACCGTATATTTTTCTGTCCAGCGACTTCTCGCCACTAAATTGTCAAGACGAGGTCGAACAAAATCATTGTCGAAGAAGCGAAGGGAAGTCAACATTTCTTTTGCATACTTCTTTTGTCTTCTCCCCTCTGTCGGAAAGAGAAGGAAATCAAATTATCATATGCTTGGTTAGTTTCACAAAGCTACGTATAGTAACACACTTATTTGCTTCAATAGTAATTTTAAAAGGTGATTAAAAAGCCTTTTGATTAAGAAAATCCACATTTGCTTACCATATAATGACATCAAAAAGTTATTGTCAACTGCATTGATGAGAAACGCCTTTACAACTCTTTGGAAATGGACAAAATGATCAACATGGGCCACTGTAAGAAATAAAAATATCAGTATGGTTGTCAGACTGATGATTTACATGAGTAAATGGAAAAAATAATGTTTGGTGGGGCTCTAATAAATATTGTATTGTGACACTACATAAATGATGTTTACAGGATTTTTATTTTAACCTTACAGTATGGAAAGCACTTCTGCAGCAATGTGCCTGACATAGCCTGCTTTTTCTTTTGTGACTGGCTCTTGTCTTCCTCAGAGTTTTCTTGTTCCAACTCCTCCTCCTCCTCCTCAACTATGAAATCTTTCATGCTGTCAACCTCAGATGCATCACTGATTTCAGCAGGTGTGAGAGATGAATGGGAAGAATCATCTTCTATTATCACATCCTCTTCAGAATCCTAGTGACATTAAGAAGCAGAGGCTTATTTGAATCCTCTATTTAAATTCATTTGTGTTACCATAACATATTATTAATAACAAACTTTCCATATTGCCCATCATTCAAGGATCACAGGGCAGTTTAGAATATAAACACACAAAATTATATAACATAATAACAAACAAACAAATACCCCCAACCCCAGTGAAGGAGTGAGGCAAGCCTCTCTGGTGAGAGCATTCCACAAACGGTAAGCCAGTGCAGAAAAGGCTGGTTCTCATGTTGCCACCTTCCCGACCTCTTGCAGAGGAGGCACACGAAGAAGGGCATCAGAGGATGAGTGCAGGGTCCAGACCATTTCATATATTTGCAGTCGAAATTATTCAACCCTCATTTCAAATCAGGCTTATTAACAAAATTTACAGACTTTCAGCTTTCTGCAATGAGCAAATCAAACAAAATTAATTGAAAGAGCTCAACACAACACATGCTTCAAGTGGTTTGAAGCATATTTTATACACACACACACTGGCAAGTGGTTTGCACTGGTAAACCACTCCCAAACACCCATTACCACCCAAGGTAGGGTAATAGACCATGGCTACTTTCAACAATTGAATTGGCATCACTGCCTTGATGTAAAAAGGTGCCTGTACAATTTCAGATAACTTGTCCTAGCTTGGGAAGTAGAGAGAAGCCAAAATGCAAGGCAGTCACCTTCCTGTTTTCAGTAAAGTTGTTGCCATAACAATACCAGAGCCAAGTCAAGATTATTTCTGGTTCAGGGACTGGGCCTAGTAGTATACTGTATGAGTTCCTGCAATAAGTAGCAGCAGTTCCTTTTTACTTTTAGCATTTTCCAATGAAAGTTCTCACAAGCACCAAATCTGCACGAGAACAGCAAGCACAACAATACATTCTGCAAATGAATAAAAAATGTACCTCATGACATTCACTGAGGCCGGAAGCTCGAGTAGATCGCCGTCGGGACAGTTCCTGCAGTTTCATTAGCCTGCCTTGTTTTCTCTTTGCTTCTTTTTCTGCAGGTGATGTGCGTTCAGCGGACAAGTCGTTCTCATCGATTATGCAACTGCGTTTGGCAAACACTTTCCTAACAATGTCGCTATTGTCACTATCATCGCTGTCATACAGTACGGTTCTCCGAGACCTCTTGCGTTTCACAAGGTTGATGCTTTCTTCATCTACGTCCTCTCCTGCTGCACAATCACCACCTGTCTCAACATCTGGAAGGCCACCTGCGTTCACCGAAGTTTCATCTTTATCCTCATTGTGTATGGGTTCACTTTTGTCTCTCTCATCTGAATCACCATCTGAACTGGTTTCAAGTTCTTTTTCTGATGCTGATGTAATTTCATCACTCTCTTCCTCGCTATCAAACAATATACATCTTCCCTTAGTTCGCTGCCAGTCAATCCGAGATTTGGCTACCGGTTCTTTTGGTCTTGCATTTCTCCTCGTTTCATATCTTCTGTTTTGGAATTTGGTTCCATAAGGACTTACTAAGAAATCAAATCAAAATGTAGTTGTGAATTCAGGGAACTGCAGGCTTGGATAATAAATCTCTCCCCCCTCCCCCCGCAAAAATAGAAAGTGGGATTCTCCTAACCCGAGACTTAAATTTAACAAGTTAAATTGTGGGGAAGTTGAAAAATCTCTTCTGTTTTATCTTGCAGAGGCAGTGGAACCTTATAAGCAATGTTTTAAAATAATACCGTCGCAGCCGACCTATACTGCTGTAAATCTCCGTAAAGTGAGCTCACTTGTATCAGATTCCTCTTTCTCCACACCAAGTGAAATAAGCTAGCAAATATTTGAAAACACACGACCACAAAATTAAGGAAGAGATAAGGGTGAAAGTGCTGAGAAGCCTGTTTCAGTTAATGCAAATCTTCTATTTTAAGAATTGCATACAGCTCAAAGTGAAAGTTCCGAATCAGCTGCTGTGGTGGCATTTCCTGCCAGAAACGGACAATGATTAGAGAAATTAATTAATTACAAATTAAATTAATTACAAAATCTAATTAAAAACAATTTTAAAAATTAAATTGATTACAAAACAGAAAATGGCTGATTCACACTCATTGTCACTCTCCCGCTTTGTACCTCTCCATGCTTCATTGGGCTAAGTATTTCTTAAGTGTGAGCTACTAAATATCAAAATAAATACAATTTTTAAAATAAAAAACCTGCTCTTTTGAAGTCAGCTGAATGTTGGAAGATTCAGGAAAAACAGAAGAAAATCCTTCTCCTAGTAGCGCATAAGAATCATAGAATCATAGAATCATAGAATTCTATGATTCTATGATTCTTATGCGCTACTAGGAGAAGGATTTTCTTCTGTTTTTCCTGAATCTTCCAACATTCAGCTGACTTCAAAAGAGCAGGTTTTTTTATTTTAAGAAGAAGAGTATGGATTTGATATCCCGCCTTTCACTCCCTTTAAGGAGTCTCAAAGTGGCTAACATTCTCCTTTCCCTTCCTCCCCCACAACAAACACTCTGTGAGGTGAGTGGGGCTGAGAGACTTCACAGAAGTGTGACTAGCCCAAGGTCACCCAGCAGCTGCATGTGGAGGAGCGGAGACGCGAACCCGGTTCCCCAGATTACGAGACTACCGCTCTTAACCACTACACCACACTGGCTCTCAAAACTATAAACTATGGAACCTGACCCTACAGGAGGCAGTGATGGCCAATAACCTGGATGGCTTTGAATGAAGATCGGAAAATAATAATGGGAGGATAAGGCTATCAGTGGCTACTAGCCACAATGTCTATCTTCTGCCTCTGCTGTCAGAGAAACTATGTCTCTGATTGCCAGTTGCTGGAAATCACAGGAACGGAGAGTGCTGTTTCATTCAGTTCCTCCAGGTTTTCCCACGCATTTGGTTGGCCACTGTGAGAACAGGATGCTGGGAAAGATGGGCCATTGGCCTGATCCAGCAACTCTTCTTACGTTCTTAATCCCTGCAACCACCATTCAGCTGATACAACATCCAACATGTTTCCTTTTAAAGTTCAGCTCAATTCTTACTTAAAACTTGCAAGATAAAACAGGGACAATAGACATTCTGTAACAAATGACATGAGGAATAAAATAAACTGAGTATAAATTTTAAAATAATTAATTACAGCACAGACTCCCCCCCCCCAAGTACCAAGGCCCAAACCTTTCCAGAAGGCCTTCACTCAACTTAGAGGCCTTTTATACAATTGTAAAAAAGTGAGGCAACATTTATGGATTCTCAGCAGTGACAGAGAACTCTGCACACGTTCGGAGGCAACCTTTTCTCTGTTACTATACCCTTGTGTCCTGGCACCAATAGCCCACTCCAGGGAGTTCGAATTAAGGCCTGCAGACAGGCCATCTGAACCCTTACAACCATTATTCCAGCTCAACCTTCATTTACTACTCTATCTAGAATCCAGCCAGAATCCCACTTCTTTAAATAAATGACCTTGCTTTCAAAACAATTATTTTCCCATTGTGTTTGTTTGATTTATACACAACTTCTCAAAACGGATGGTTTATTTTTATACATGTATTAATGCAAACTGCTTTGTGAGACTTGCTTGGTAAGCCCTAACGGGTCGTAGTTAGGTTTTTAGCTTGGCCTGGCCGTGCCTTTTGCATTTTTTGCCTTTCCCACCATTTTCAGTTCCCCAGGGCAGCTCACAACCAAAATGCAAAGCATCTGTAACAAGCAAAACATAAAATTACATCATCCCACTGGGAAGCAAAAAAGAAGTCCTTCCTCCCTATTCATCCTAGATTCCTACACTTTTTAAGCAGAAGTTGGATGGGCATCTGTCATCGATGCTTTAGTTGAGATTCCTGTATTTCAGGGGGCTGGACTAGATGATCCTTGAGGTCCCTTCCAACTCTATGATTCTAAGATTCCTGTTGACAAGCCTACCTTAGAAAGCTGAGCGGATTGTAATCTGCTTTAGGATGTTAACTTTTTCTGTGTGTTTTAAAACATTTATACTTTTTTTATCTCTTAAATTTATATACAGCCCTTCTTTAGAGGAACACAGGGCAGATTAGGGACACAAGGGGTTGTAAAATGTAAGGTTGCGAATTTCTGCTGGTTTCACTTGCTTTTGTCTTCTGGAAACCTCTTTTGAGCTTTTATTTTTTTAAAAAATCAAGCGGTGGACTAAATATATGAAAAAACAATAAGGGAATCTGTGGGGAGTGGAGTAAGGAAGTGCCGGCCATTGGAGCTTTCCTCAGCTTTCACCACATGCTCAGAGGCACTCCTGGCCGTGGCTGCCTTTAAAACTACAGACGCCACCTTGAAGGCAATAATAATAATAATAATAATAATAATAATAATAATAATAATATATTTATACCATGCCCATCTGGCTAGGTTTCCCCAGCCATTCTGGGCGGCTTCCAACAGAATATTAAAACACAAGTCTATTACAGTGGTGCCTCGCAAGACGAAATTAATCCGTTCCACGAGTCTCTTCGTCTTGCGGTTTTTTCGTCTTGCGAAGCACGGCTATTAGCAGCTTAGCGGCTATTAGCGGCTTTAAGAAAAAGGAAACAAACTCGCAAGAACTCGCAAGACGTTTCGTCTTGCGAAGCAAGCCCATAGGGAAATTCGTCTTGCGGAACGACTCAAAAAACGGAAAAGCCTTTCGTCTAGCGAGTTTTGCAAGGCATTCGTCTTGCGGGGCACCACTGTAAACATTAAAAGCTCCCCTAAACAGGGCTGCCTTCAGATGTCTTTCTTTTTCCTTTCTCCTCCTGTGGTGAGGCTGCATTTTAACATTCATTCAACTTGTTTTTATTATTGCTTGTTAGCCGCCCTGAGCCCTTGGCTGGGGAGGGAGGGGTATAAATAAAAATTATTATTATTATTATTAGTAGTAGTAGTAGTAGTAGTAGTAAAAGTCTGGTAGTTGTTTTTCTCTTTGACATTCGGTGGGTCTTTTATTAATTTCTCTCTGTGCCTGGTTTCGGTTTCATTTAAAGCAAATGCACACTGGACTGAGCTTGCCCTTCCTAGCGCCCTCAGCCAGACAGTTCCCGCCAGAGTCCGCCTTCGAATTCCCGCGCTCTGGAGCAACGTACCCGGCACGCGCGACACCCCTCCCCTCTCTCTCTTTTTCCCGCGCGCGCCCCCTTCCTCTCTCTCTCTCTTACCTGAGAGGCGCCAAAGCTGCGCGCACATACGAACAGGAGAGGAGGCGGGGCCCTACAAAGCCACGCCCACCGCCACAAACTGCGTATTATTTTTTTCATTATTCTTTTGGTCCCGCCTCCTACGCTGGCGGCCCGCGATTGGCCGCCCTTCCCCGCCGGGATCGGGCGGCTCCCTGCCCCACCTCCTCACGTTTTTTATTTTGCGCGCTAACGCGCAGCCCGCTTTCGCCCCTCCCGCTCGCGTTCCTTTTCCCGCTCCCCTCCATAGAGTTGATAATGGTAGAGACGCGCATATACACGCAGTGATTAAGCTTCCGGGTTCACACTGGAAAACATTTCCCCCCTGGGTTTTTTTGGGGGTGTGTGTGTGCGGCGGTAACATTGCAAACAATGGGAAACGTGCACGGGTGTGCCCTCTCCCCTTTGAAGAATAAATATAAAAGGCAGCACCCAAACTAGGAAAGGGGGATACTGTTTCAGGTCTTACTTAATATTATTATCGATTATTGATTAAATTTGTATACCGCCTTTCATCTGTAGATCTTAGGGCGGTTCAAACCTCACATTACAAATAAAAAACCCCACGAAATAGATAATAATACGGAGCAATAATAATAATAATATGCTTTCAAAGCACAATATTATCTGATGCAGGAATTTTAGCCATTCATTCCTAAATTTGCACGGTACCTGAACTGTAGCTAGAAAACTGAGGGCGCAAATGCACTGCAAATCAGTGCCCTATTTGGGGAATTATGTACTTCCTCTTCTTGTTTTGGCAATGCACAAGAGATCGCCTTGAATTTGGCACTCCCTGGCGGTGCATTTTTTTTCATTTAAAGAAATAAAACCAAAATGAAAATAAGTTTGAGTTAGAAACTGCGCGGTGTGGACAATTGCAGATATATTAAAATTCTGAAATACTCCAGTGTTTGCATCGGGCAGCTCTCTCACAACCTGAGAGAAAACCACAGACAGAGATATTTGGAGTTATTTTGAGTATTCTCTTTTCAGCCGCGCGGTGACGCTGCTGCCCTGCTATTTCCTTTCGACTGCAGCACCCTTTCCCAGGTTGCTGCTTTAGTAACTGGCAAAGAGCTCCTTTTTCACTTGGGTTAGCTGGCTGGAGCTAGTAGTGGATGGATTTGCGGGTGAAATAGGGAGCAAAATATTCAAGCCGCTGGAACAGCTGCAAGAGAGGAGGAGGGAGGAAATAAAGCAAGAAAAAGGAAACAATAGGCAAAAATAAAATTTGTTAGTTGCTTTTCCACGCTGCTCATGGCCAAAGTCCTCAGGGTGGTTTGCAAACTATTAAAAACACGAGATACAACCAGAAGCCTTTAAAAATGGGATAAGAGAACTTACATAAAAATCAGCTGCAGCTCACCATGAACTTCTCTCTTATTCTCTTGGAATGGCACGCACAGGTACTCCAGCTGAAAAAAGCTCTGCTTCCCAAGGATGGTATATAATGAAACTGGGGTTAACCTAAACAGATTTGGGGGGTCCGCTTCAGTCCTGGGATCTTAAGCCCTAAGAGGGGATTCCGCAGCAGAAAGGGAGTGTTGAAATGGTCACAACCAGATTCTTTGTTTTGCAAAATACACCTAGCCGGGTCTGTGAAGCATTTGCTTTGTAATGTAAGCCAGGGCAACAAAATGCCACAGAAAATAAACAGGTGGAGATCCTCCTGGAATTATTATTGTTATTATTACTATCATTATTTAATTATTAAATTTGTATACCGCCCTTCAGTGCGGTTCACAACCAAAAAATACTGGATAAAAAACACAAAATACATAATAAAAACAAGAACCAAAACAAACCTATTAACCCCACGTCCCAACATATTTAAAAGGGTAAAGGTAAAGGGACCCCTGACCATTAGGTCCAGTCTTGGCCGACTCTGGGGTTGCGGCGCTCATGGCTGAGGGAGCCGGCGTACAGCTTCCGGGTCATGTGGCCAGCATGACTAAGCCGCTTCTGGCAAACCAGAGCAACGCATGGAAATGCCGTTTACCTTCCTGCTGGAGCGGTACCTATTTATCTACTTGCACTTTGATGTGCTTTCGAACTGCTAGGTTGGCAGGAGCAGGGACTGGGCAACAGGAGCTCACCCCGTCGCAGGGATTCGAACCGCCGACCTTCTGATCGGCAAGTCCTAGGCTCTGTGGTTTAACCCACAGCACCACCCACGTCCCATTTAACAGGGTATCAGATGTTAATCAGCCAAAGGCCTGGTTGAAGAGGCAAGTATTTGCCTGGTACCTAAATGTTTCATCAGGAAGATGCTTTTACTTTCCCCCTCCCCTAGCTGGAGGTGAGCAAAATGCTTGTGGGTGAGAGGAAACTAATGGGCCTGGCAGTGTTGAAACTGCCCTGGCAAAGTGACACAAAGACCTAATTTAGGGCTCATCCACACTGCCGCTTATGATGGGCCTGCAAACATGGCTCCGAGCAGCTTTCCGCTTGTCTTGTGCTTTCTAGGCAAAGGTCCGAGCCGTTTTGCCCTTGCCCTTCTGCTTTCTCCCGGAGAACCCACTCTTGAGCACTAAATTGGAACAAACAACATTCGGTGGAAAACCTGGTTACTGTTTGTTCAGCACCAAAGCATGGGGTTTCCTGGGCGAGGCAAACAGAGGTCTGAGTAAATGCTTCGTCTCCAAGATAACTCAAAGCTATTGCTTAGGTGCCTCCGCTCTTGAAATCTGATGGGGTCTGATGGAATATTAGTGCTGTGACCTTTCGTATCCTGCTCTTGTCTGTATACATGCGTAAATAAACCTGATATCACAGAAATCGACAACAGTAATACCAAGGGCGGCGGGGTGTTAAGAATTAAAATTAAGATTTGTACTGTTGGGAACAATATACTGTGATTTGCCCAGCAGGTGGCATATGAAACCTACATACTGAGGGGAAAAAACATAGAAAACAGCAACTCTACACAACTTTTCTCGCCTGCTCATTGCTGGTGTGATTATTAATTAACACATCCCACTTACGTTTTCATCGGGCGGTGGCAAAATTAGGTCATTGTGACCTTGATGAATTAAAAACGTGTAGAAGCATTAAGGAAATGCCAGAAGCCACAACGTTGCCTTAGAGCTGTTGCTGCCTTCGCACCTTTCTTCTCCTGGGGATTGCTATGATCAATAAGATTTATTTTTCAAGAAGTAACTTGCAAATTGCATAGGTTGCGATGCAACTTATACCTCTTCTTTGGTAGCAGCTTGATGAGTGGGAGATAATTTATGCTTTACAGGTGTCAGGGTTAGAGAGAGCGAGAGAGCGTGTACACCACATGGCAAATGGATGGTTTTGCGGTACTTTTCCAAATAGGTTATAACCCGTGTGCATTTTTCAAAGGCGATGGCTGGTGGCAGAATGTGGCATTTATCAAACAGATGACAGGAGCAATCCTGGTCCCTTAGAAGTGGCCTAAGTGCATGGCGATCTGTTGGACCTCCTGATCGTTCTCTCAAATCTATCAGAAAAAAAATAAAAACAAAGTGGGGCCCAGATAACAAAAGTATAATGGCTTGCACTGGCTTTCCAAAGACATTCTTTTCCATAATCAGCTTGTGACCTGACCTTGTGATGTGTGCATATTTATTCTAAAGTAAGCCTCAGAGAACTTAATGCAACTTCCCTCCCTCCCGCCACAATATGTATGCACAGGGCTGTGGTTTTGGCCTCTGCTAATACTATG